ATTTTTAAGGTTTTGGAGGAGGGTTGCCACCTTATTTAAATTTAAATTCGAATTATTTTATAAGTTAAATGAATTTTTAAAATATGGGTATCAATCGAAGGGGTTTGACAATATTTTATTTCTGAACTGTATTAACGGGGTTGCCACGTGTTTGAAAATTAAAATTCTACCAATTCATCAGTTAATTAAAAGATGTATCGGAGTGTCCGGCGAAGGAGAGTTAACTGTGATTAAGAACAAAAATACTTTTTAAGAGGGCTGCTAACACTAGCTAACTAATTCAAAAAGTATATGAAATACAAAAATACCGTAGTCAAATGAAATAATGTTGAGAAATCTTTAGTTTAAACCATTCCAATGTTTTAAGAGCTGATACGTGTTTAAAAATAACAAATTTCAAAAATTAGATGTCAGATTAGAGATCTTAAAAAAGGTAAAGGGTGATTTGAAAGTCGATGAAAATAAAAACATCCACCATGCAGGACTGCTCTTCACTCAGAAATGGCTGCACGGATTTGATTAAATATGGCACTCGGATCTCTTATAACTCCGACTAACATTGGAATATTTTTTAAGTTTATGAAATTCAATTTTGAACGTTTCAACGCCATACGAGTTCACTAGTATTAGGATTTTTCACTTCACTTCTCAAACATCAAATGGAGAGCTTACTAGAGTAATAATATTTTGGAGTATCAATCCATGCCGGTTGAAGCATCCCCTAAAAAGTCCGTTTTCTAAATGACAAAAACTAAAACGCTACTAGTCGCAAAGAGGCTCTTCAACCGCGCAGATATGCAATCTGAATGCTGTCATTGGCCACAGTTCCTACCCAAACAATTTTAAATTGAATTAATAGTTTTCGTGGGAATACCTTCATTCAGCATTAAAGTAAAACATATGTTCCTTGTGCAAAAATTTTTAACATACACACATAAATATGTCCCTGAACACAATACCACACAGCCGCAAATTTAATTGACTGTATGGTCTTGCATAAACCCTGTCGAATTCCTTAATCTACACCTAACGAAAATCTACTTGCTTGTCTTTCATTTCTCATGCATAAATACATTTACATATGTACATTAGGGTGCACCACCCAAAAAAAATGCGGGATTTTCACGGCAAATATGTAACTTATTATATTTTAAGGCCTTTGCCAAAAAATCTCAGAAAATAATTAAGATTTATGTGAGCTGGATCTCCGAAAATGTCTCCAAAAATCTCATTATTTTGATTCCGCTGATAAATTTTTTAAACATTTTTATAAAAACCTTTTAAACTTGAAATTTTTTCGTCAGAGGTGATTTTTAAGAAAAAAATTATTTTAAAAATTACTTTTATTTATAAAAAATACACGATTTTGGAGGTATTTTCGAGTGGCTTCACCTCACGTAAAAAATTATTCTCCGAAATATCTTGGCGGAAGTATTAGAATCAGAGACCGTAACGGTTGTTATCTTTTAAATAAAAATCATAATTTAAAAGTTGAATTGGATTTCTATTTTTCACATCGAATTTAAACGTTATTTTATGATTTTTATTTTTCCGATCAATAATAATCTCCATTTTTGCATTTGAATTCTTCGATCAATTTTCGATCGTTATTTTAGGTGTTTATTTTTTCAATCATATTATAACCGTTATTTTCAGTTTCCATTTTTTAGATCACAAAAGTTTAAAGCGGTCATAAAAACGCAGTCTCCCTCAAAACGAATAAAGATCATCGAAAAATATTAAAATCCAAAATAACGATAATTTTTGATAAAAAAAAAAAATAGAAAATTACGATTAAATTTCGCCGACAAATTACTAATCCAAATTCAACTATTATTGTTTAATAAACAATGTTTATCGAAAAAAAAAGAAAACGATTTTGCAATGATCCAAAAATAAATATCTGCATATTTAACGGTTACTTTCGTTTCCTGCTTAGAATGTAATATATTATTTTTTTGTATAGGCAGCGAGGCACCCTAATTTACATACATATGGCGAGAGCATATTTTGCCTTTTAAGTTACAAGGCAGCAAGCCTATCTTTACAAGCTACATGTATCTCTTCAAGTATATGTATGTACACACAATATTTGTTTAAGCATAGTTACATGTAAGCCCGAAATCTAATATCCTTTTAGTAATATGCACAACTGAAACATTAATCCTTCTTGTGAACATACAACTTAACCTTTTTGTGTTAAACAATGGAAAAATCATTTTTGGATCAAGTTGTAAACACACACACATTCACACTTGATGGCTAATTTGGTACAAATACATATCCACGTCGAATTTCTTTAGCTGCTATAGATGCCATTTAACCTTTGCCAAAGGACTATGATGTAGATTAATTGCTGACACTCAATTCGATGAAATCCACGTGGACTTCTGTTAACCCACATAACTTACAAAACCATACGGAGTAGATAGGTAGCCCTTTGATTTGTCTCTGCTACACACATTTCACTAAAATCCTAACTTAACACTCAAAAGCGTAGTTAAAGCCAACACCGTACATATGTGTGTAGCTATATTTTAAAGAGTGAATAAAACTGAAACATTAGCAGTTATGTAAGTTTATGCAGAAGTAATGATTCGCATGGAATGATATGAATGGCCAACCCATGGGACCTTAAACCAATCGAACATTATTCGTTCAATACGAACTTGTTTTATAATGCGGTTGGTGAGTTATACTATAATAACACCGTGCGACAAAAACCAAGAAAATTTTAAAAACACTATTTCAGTGCCAAGTGAAAGAGAAAGTTCTGGAAAATTAAAAAAAAAAAAATTGTTTCACAAAGACGTATAGGATTTTTGTTTATTAAGCTAGAAGGACCAATTCGTGTGTTTATTAGTCATTAGATAACATATCATTTTTTTTTTTTAAGTGAAACTTCTTCAGCGGCAGTTGGTTGGTTGGAAGTAAATTGGCAAATTCAACGGAAATTTCACACGGAAATGGTGTCACAGAAGAATCACAACTCAAAATTTGGCTTTTTTTTTATAAAAGTCTACCTCATTTTACATATAACTAACTGTGTTTAAATGCGCATTTTAAAATTTGTACAAAATTTATAAAAATTCAAAAAAAAAATTGCCTAAATGTCAAACTTTTTACTCAGCATTTTTATAGCCAACTTAAATTAAAGTAGGATATCATGCAGGTTTCATGCAGTTACAAAATACCGTTGATTTTGGGAATTTTTTAAACCATGTTGGATATTTTCTTCCATATAAACAAATCTTTGTCGAATATATTTTGTATGGAAGAAAATGCGTGACACCACCAGCAAAAAAAATTATAAGAAATGAACGTTACTTTTAGTCAATTGAAACTTGCATTTTATCCTGCCGTAATTTAATGGGCTATACTTTTAAAATTGCATACCTAGAATTTTTCTAAAAACGCTGAGTAAAAATATTGAAACAGGTTGAATATGGGCCAAATATAGTAAAACTGCATTTTTAGTTTTAGATTTTTTTTTGTTAGCACTTTATAATTTCAAAAACATGATAAATTCTAAAAATTATTTTAAAAAATCAGTGCAATGTAGAACAAAAATGGGTACCAAAAAATTTCTGTAGAAGTTAAAAAAATTAAAATCTTTTGGATTCACAACAACGAAAAGGTATTGAAAATGCCCCTTTAATCAATTTCACTTTTTAAGCTAACAAAGTTAGAAGCACAATATTCAAGGACGTTGTCCAATTTATATTAATCCTCAAAATAAATTTTTTTCAAAATAAATATTGCAACATTTTAAGGATATTCGAGGATAAAATTCTTAAGGACATTTCTAATACCTCATGCATCAAAAAATTTAATCTGTTCTTTCTCTACAGAATTTTCATTGCACTAAATTTTTTTAAAGCATTTTCTCAATTATCGTATTACCCAATTTTCAATATGACGTCAGATAGAAAAACTAAAAACGCAATTTTACTGCACACATTTATTTGGCCCATGGCTTCGCGAATATATTGATTTGTTTGTGTGTAAAAAATTGCCGTCGCACTCGGTTATGTATATGTATTATTAGCTAGACATTTGTAAAAAAAATATTTAATATTAAATAAACAAAAGAAATATAGAAAAAACTGGTCAACATAAGGCATTTGTATTATTGCCACCATTGCAAATTATAGATATCGAAAATCTCGGGATTCTTGGCAAATAATTCCAGGATTTTCAGCACTTAAAAAAGGCCGAGATCGCGGGATTAACATCCCTATTACTTTCGTATTCTCTTAAAATCCATTTCCAAATTACTCATACGCCCTGTAGCGCAATATGCATTTAATATGAGAAAATGAATGAAAATTCCATGTGGGTTACTGTTACATTTTGCGCAAGTTTTTTATCCATCCTTATGNTTTGCAAACTGCACTACATTTACACACCCATTCGACCGCAATAAACAACTCCATTTTCATTTCATTTTCAATTAAGTCGACTAACTAAAAGTTGGGGTAAGATTGTTTGTGGTTTGCTGAGTAGTGGCTTTCACTTCCATCCTGTTGCTGTGCAGATATGTTTGCCATTTTGCTCCCCCCCCCCAATCTGGTTTATTTCTATTTAGACATTTTCCGATCGCTTTAGCATTGCCTTGAACCATATAGTTGACCTCAGCGACCAAGTGTGCATTTCAGTTGAGGCTGGAAATTCATTAATTCATCGCAGTTGGCCAAAACCCCCAGTAGAGCAACTATGGATGTACATACATACAACCCATTGACCTTATTTCGAGTCAATTTATTTTCCACTTAACACTCGCTCCTCAACCATGCTGCTGCTTTTTGTTTTTTTTTTTCGTTGTCTCATTTTGCAGCACTGATTTTTACTCATTTACTTAGCCATATTCTTTTCAGCCCTTTTCATTTTCATATCAAATGTTGCCTTTCTCGTTGGTTGTTTATATGTATTATATATTTTTTCGCTGCCTCTTGTAACTCAATTGTATCTAAGTAAGTATTTATTTGTGTTCTTTCAAGGTTACTGGCCGCTCGGCTTTGTGTGGTGCAACATTTATGTAACCTGTGATGTGCTGGCCTGTTCGTCGAGTATATTGCATATGTGTTTCATCAGCCTTGGTCGTTACTTGGGCATACGAAATCCGCTGGGATCGCGACACCGCTCAACTAAACGGCTAGCTGGCATAAAAATCGCCATCGTTTGGGTGATGGCCATGATGGTGTCGAGCTCGATTACAGTTTTGGGTGAGTTCAAAATAGGATGCTCTTAACTGGTTTTACTTTGTTTACTTGTGGTTTTGTTTTAATTATCTTTTGTTAAGAAAACTACTCGTATTTATTTAACAAATGTACGTACTTTACTAACAATTTCTTTTTTTTTCTCTTCCTCTTTTTCTCAGGCCTCGTTAACAAGCATAATATCATGCCAGCGCCGAACATTTGTGTCATTAACAATCGCGCTTTCTTTGTCTTTGGTTCGCTTGTGGCTTTCTACATTCCTATGCTGGTGATGCTCACTTCCTATGCTTTGACAATACCGCTGCTGCGCAAGAAAGCACGCTTTGCCGCTGAGCATCCGGAAAGCGAACTCTTTCGGCGGTGAGTACTGCAATATTTGTATCTCTGTAATATATGTGCTAATTTTGCTGTTGTATTCGAAAGATACAACATATTTAATTAACTGGTTTTAATTTCGTCGCTGTCATTGAAAAATTCACTACGTTCTACAACTAAGTGATGCACACCAATCTGGTTTTCTTTAACCGAGAGTAAAATTTTAAAATAAATTTTTATTTGTAATTTTTATGCAAAAAAAAAAATTTGAGTTTTATTTTATAAACCCAAAATAACGTTTATTTTTGATTTTTATCTAAATTATCTGTAAATAGCAGTCTAAGCCTAAGTTATATATGCTTCATTATTTATGTACTATGTTGAGAATTTTGTTGTACAAAACTCTAGTGTTTCAACTGACACGCGAACAAAAAAATTAAATTTAGATTTATATAACCCTAGAATGGGAGAGTCGAAAAAACTGGTTGGTCTACCCAAGTAAATTAATAATTGTTCCTATAAAAAAAAATATATTATGCTCTTTTCTTCAAGAATTAAGCAACATTCTATTTAGTTTCTCATCAATGCCAAATCAAGTTTATTTTAACAAATTCCTCTCTACTCATTCTTCTTAAGCTTAATTACTACCTTCTTACTATCCATAGATACTGAAAGTATTGGTATTAATAAGTGCTTATACTTGCTCTTCTTCTGCAGTTTGGGTGGTCGCTTTACAATACGACCGCAACATAGCCAGCAGCAGTTGCAACTACACAACAATAGTAGCTTTCGCAGCAGTAATAATAGCCACACTAGCTACAGCAAGTACTGTGTCAGCGACAACAATCGCAATTTCAGCGCCAATAATCATGGCAGCAATGATGTCGGCAATAGAGACAATGGTGATTATGACAAACAACGGGCGCATGGCTTGCGGCATACAAACAATTCGAATTACACAAATGGCGGCGGCGGTGGCAATGCTGCAGCGTGTGCGGGTGGAGATGGCGGCGGTGGCAGTAATGGCAATAGCGGCGGCGGTGGTGGCATCTTTGGCGGCACATTCCTAAATTGTCGCACAAGTTTTCGACGCAGCACTATACGCCATTCATCTTCGTCATCTGTACGCATCAAATCTCCACCGCGTGACGCCAGCCGACTGATGCAATCACAATCAGCGCAACATAGTAGCTATTGGCGTTCGCACGGCAATCCAAACATAATGGATAGGTGAGTAAAAGTCTANACATTGTGCATCAATTTGATACATATGTGTATAGAAAAGGCCCTGCTACTCGATGAATTGTTGGGACTTTTTTTTTACTTTTTTATTAATGGCCAACGTTCATTCATTTTCGGATAATAAGAAAAAAGTTCATGAAAAATCTATACGCAAATTATGTAATGGTGCGGAGGACATGCAAACTTTTTGAGTTCGTGACAATGATTACTATACAATTTCAAATCCATTATTGGTGTACATATGTGGCAATGTAATCTTTTCACCGGTTTTTGGCAATTTTTGCAATAATTGACTGCCTGAGTGTTCACTTTAGTGATTAGTTACACCTTTATGCAGTTTTATAAGTTATTTGCGTTACCTGAATTTGGTAAAGAATTCCGCGTGTGAATATATGGCATCACCAATGACTCAGATATCTCAAGGGTAAAGAGGCGATAACGATTTTTCCGCTCGTTTTTCATCCACGAGGGATTTAGTTCAAAAATTCCACAAATGAATTGAAAATGGAAATATCGAGCATGTTGGCAAATATAGCCATTGTCCAACGATCACCTTTCCGCTTGCAGCGATAAGTGCCGATTCTCTCTTCCAAATCATCCACTCCTTTTGTTTCATTGTGGCAGTGTGTATATTATTTCGGGTTTCTTTTCAGGGGAATCGCGGGCGTCCTTTGCTGTACTTGCATGCAATGTACTAAGAAAAGTTACGTACTTATTCTTTTTCGGCACGTATGAAACCATTGGAAGCTGTAATGAATGCTAAAAAAAAATTCTTAATAAACAATTTGGCTTATTTTTCATATCCAAAAGAATAGATGAAATTTCTTTGCGATTTTTCC